TACCTGTGCACCAACTCTCAAAACATAAACAATTATCAAAATATTGCTTGCAATGACTTTTGTCACCCCACTAGTGACAGCGAGTCACCTCACCTCACTCGCGGAGCAGAATAAGGTTGTTTATCTTAATTCTGGGACATAGAAAACTGGTTACGATCTTGGAGCTTACAACATTTTCGAAGATCTGCAACCTACGAAATATTTTAAAATTCTAAAAATAGATGTCGCTATTGAATTACGGGGAAAAAAAATGCACCCGAAGAACTATATCTTCCGAAACGAGAACTCATCCTGACTAGGAGGAAATCATAATTAAATAAGTGAACCTGCCCGAATTTCAGTGCTCACATCTTCGGTCAAACCTCACTCGTTCATCATCGATGTTATGGGAAACGTGTATCCGATAAAAACTCTTTCTCTTCTGAAAAGCAAACTTGTTCCCACAAGGTTAAAATTTGTGCTCATGGGTAAAACTGCTCGAATTTAAGAGAATGAACACGGTGAACTTCTGGTAGTACCTGAGGACAAAGGGAGGCGCCTGGTACAGCTATTTCTTAGGAAGTTCATGAGAATGTGAACGGAAATTACTAGGGTAAATTATGGCTTCATCAGTTCATTAACCTTTCATCGACAGGGGACCTCAGATAGCTAGTCAGTTAATGCACGGTATTGCGAAGACTTAGGGTTCGATTCCCGGTTTGGTCTAGAAACTCTTCATAAAAAGTATCATTGTGCTTGCCACCCAATTTACAAACTCATGCAAGACTTAGCAAAGGAAGCTCTGGGAGTGCGCTTCAAAGAACCAAAACGCTGATTTACCTCCATGACGATAATTGGTAAAGGCATTGCTCATTTTAGATGGTCAAGTTTTGAACCCACCACAGCATGTTTTTGGCGCTACTGTCACCCCTATTCTGTATTTCGTTTCGAACGAAATTCTCATACAAAAAAATACGAAATACAGAATAGGGGTGTGTATATTTTTTTTTTTTTCATTTGGTTTGTTTTTTCCGTCGATCTTGTTTTCCGTGCTGAGCACCAATGTACCGATGTGCCAGGAAGGCAGCTCCCACACCTGGACCCTACCTATCGACCCATCAACTCATGAACCGGGGACCAACGGCTTTACTTCCCATCCGAAGGAAGGCGTGATCCGAGATGTTATGCCTCAGAACATCCCGGCGGCGCCGACTGGGATTGAACCCAGGCCTGCTGGGGTGAGAGGTAATCACGCTTACCACTACGCCGTTAGGGGTGTGTATATGGACGATCAAATGTAAAATACTGTGGTAGCCACAGCATAGTTCTGTCAAAACCTTAGCAATTTTATTTATCCATTGACGAAGACGGAGAAAACTTTCCATTACTTTCGATGAACTGCTATTTTTGAACGCTCATGATTTGAACAACACTTCTATGAGTTCAACGAGTGAGAGAAGGATTAGTAATTTCCATTTAATTCCACTACCTTATTTGCTTATCCTTGACAGACACGCGTATTTCGTCTACAATGTGCAGACTTCTTCAATGCCTTGTACTAATACTCGACTGTCTCCAGTGTCTTGTACTAATACTCGAAGAATACAATCGAGTGTTAGTACAAAGCACTGAAGAAGTCTGCACGTTTGAATTGATTATTTTGTCATAACCTGTGCGCGATTCAATCAAATAAAATCCTCTGTTTTGTTTTTTCCGTCGATCTTGTTTTCCGTGCTGAGCACCAATGCTACCGACGTGCCAGAAAGGCAGCTCCCACACCTGGGCCCTACCTATCGACCCATCAACTCATGAACCGGGGACCAACGGCTTTACTTCCCATCCGAAGGAAGCCGTGATAAGAGATGTTATGCCTCAGAACATCCCGGCGGTGCCGACTGGGATTGAACCCAGGCCTGCTGGGGTGAGAGGTAATCACGCTTACCACTACACCACCGGCGCCGTTCAATCAGATAAAATGGAAAATAAACAAATTTCCGGCCAAATCCGAAAACTTATCCTTACAGACCATCGAAAAGGTCTCTCAAAACGAGAAATCACTAGAAAATAGCAGGACGGAAAATAATGAAAGAAGTACGAAGAATTTGGCTGCGTGGTTTTAAAAGTGGTTTGGCCCAACGATGACCATTGATCCGACAAGTGAACTGGTTTGTTTACTTCCTTTTCAATATTCATTTGAGAATGATTATGATTTTTGACGACGGATCAAGCGTCTTAACTAAGCGTCCGGAAATATGTCGGCAAGTCATGGGAGTTTTGGAAGAAGGTTCTCTGGAGCGATAAGAGCAAATTTGAGCTCTTTGGACATAAGCAGGGTGCACTAGTTTGGACAAAACCAGGAGATTAAAACGTACAAAAGACAGTGATGCACGAAGGTGGCAATATTATGGTGTGGGGATACTTTGCGTGGTCTGGTGTGGGAAATTTGGTTAAAATAGATCGAATAATGACGGCAGACTCCTACATAAGCATTTTGAAAAGAACTCTAGAGTTGGCTTAGCTAAAAAGTTTATTTTTCAGCAAGACAACGACCCCCAACATACCGCTCACAAACCTCTGCCTACTTCCGTGCTTCATGTGCCAAACTATTGGAATGGCCGGCCCAAAGGCGTGACTGGAATTTGATTGAAAGCGTATAATCTATTTTGGATCAGAATGTTTACAAAGGAGATGTAACAAACCCGTGAAAAAATGTTTGGATGGAAATTAGCCCTCTACACATCAAAAACCTTGTTGAAAGTATGCCAATACGCTAGCAAGCCGTCATTGAAGCTAAAGGTGATCATACTAAGTATTAATTTTAAGAATAAGCATTGAAAATGCTGAATTTATTGTAATGCGTATTTTATTTTGTCCACTCAGAAATGGACAGTTTCCCAAAAAAAATGTTATCATTTGATAATGAGTTAAACACTCTTATGACCTGGAACAAAGCATATTCCAAAGTAAATCTATAATGCAAAATTCGTTCGAACACTATAAATAAATATTGAGAAAATCAAGGAAACTTTCATTATCAAAGGTACGTATGTCCTTTATTTTGACCAGTACAGAATCGCTCAACGAAAATGAGGTTCTTAATTATGTACTCAACTTTACCTACCTACAGCATATGAAATGCGCTAACTAAAGAGTCAGTGCAATCTTTTAGAGGGAATGATTTGTTCAAATTTTATCAAAAAATTCAATAATTCCTCAAGATTCCTCACAGCATTTCCCTGAAATTGTTTGCTAAAGCTCCACAGTAGTTGCTGTGCTATACGTTTTCGAGAATTTCCACTGTCCTTGGACACCGGCCACAATTGTTGAGGAATTTCCCATAGAATCTTCAGAAATTATGCCTAGAATTTGATTTGCCAATTGGAGTGAAGCCCTCATTGTCAATTTCCTAGAAAAAGAAGAAAATTTGCGATGACTTATCTCAAAATTCCTCTAACTAAGAACATCCGGTTTCGTTAAGAAATCTAGACCAACAATTGAAATAGGCGGAAAAACCAAACAAACAATGGCTTTAATCGCAAATTTCTCGAGAATCAAAACACGCCCACGCAATCTAACACCACCATCTGATAGAGAAAAGTTCCTTTATCGAATGGTATTGTTAGTTTGCGTGGGTGTGTTTTGATTCTCGAGAAATTTGCGATTAAAGCCATTGTTTACGTTTGGTTGTTCCGCCTATTTCAATAGTTTGTCTAGAAATGTATTCATTTGTCGCCCACAAATGGAGTGTTTCGCATCAAGGATTGGTTTCAATAGTTACTTGCTTGAAAAGAAAATCGTATTTCCGGATTGGATCCATATCATTTTTTTTATTACAAACCCTAATGACAACTAGTTGTCAGTAGTAGGGTTTTTAACGATTACAAGAGAAGCATATTTTTCTAGAAATTAACAAGTCATGTAGTTTAGAATTAATCTTTCTTTAACCAAAGCTATAGCAACCAATCGCGAATTTGTGCTCATGGAACTCACAAAAGAGCTCATTATGTTCACCATGAGAACCTACATTTTCGAACAGTTGCGATGGCGCTGCCACCGAATGAACTGTTGGGGGTGTAGATTTGGCAAGCATCGTCATAGTTATCACGCTCAAACAGAGCAGAAAACGCTCTCTTTCTAGTCAGTTCCATACCAATCGTGTGAAGTTTTAATATGAATACCACTATGAAGGTATCAGGATCGGTGCTTGAAATGATCGATTGTTTATTTCCATTTAGATACGCGAACTGTACCATGGAGCTAGTACTATCTCGTGAAACTATCGGAACGATTGAGTGTTGAATATTCCTTCCCAAGAGCGAAGGGCAAACTATTTAGCGAGACAGCAACTCAACGAACAAATGAACCGATTCTGTACTTGGACTGAGTAATGAATAATTAACATAAAATGTTGATTTTTAGCTAACAAGGGCCGCTATCCTGTCAAATTTTCATCAGTGAACTAAAATTCATCGGTGCGCACTCGTCCTTGCTAGAACTTTCATGAGTTCCCATGAGTGGTTACGGCCTAATAAGACCATGCGTTGATGCTCAGAACTTCTGGAAGTTATTGTTGACAAACTCTGCGACGATCCCAATGTAACGTTGACCACCTTAGTGTTAAACAATACGCATATTTCCCCTTATAGTTTTGTTGCGTGTTTCCAATTTCTAGTGTACAAAATGCTACGATTCCTTATTTTTTTGCTTTCGAATATTTTCGCTTGCTTACCTTCATTTCTTGGAAATAATTAGTTAATTTTTTGTTTAATAATTGTTTTTGCCTTTCGTGTTCTAGCTCACTATCATTTTCCTCATTTTTTTTTTTTTTGCTTTTGCACATAACCTCATCATCTAGTTGTAAACATTTCCCTTCTCCGAGGGACAAGCGTTACTAGTAGATTCACCTGCGCGCATCCGCCATGCACGATTCAGCGCGACACAAGTGTTTGCTAGCTTTGTTTGTTTGTGTGTGTATTCCTAATTTTGTTCTTCAACTCCCCCACTCTCCCTCAAAACGTTACACGCTCCTTCGCCCCCCCCCCCTCTCGTCAAAGAAAAAAATAAAGACCTTAATCAACCTACTGCGTTTTCAGTTCCTTACCGATACTATACGACACTATCTTACTCCAGTCGATTTTCGTTCTGGTCACGGGCAGCTGTCTCCGCAGTGCCTTGAACGTCGTGTCGGACATCGTCTGGTAGTTCTCCGATATTGCCGTCTGGTAATCATGTTCGCTCTCCTCAATCAGTCGTATGATCTCCTTGGCGACGGCGGCTTCGTTCGAGATGACCACCGATTCGCGGAACTCCTTCGACGACACCAGCTGCACGTTACCATCTTCGTAGTAGTGCACCTGTAGTTTCAGCATACCCTTCAGCTCGGCCGAGCCGGCACCGCTGACCGGAAACGTGATGCCCCACACCGAGCGCCACCGGCCGTTCCAGAAGTTTTTCGGCTGAAACTGGTGGTCCTCGATGCACACGTTCAGCGTGATCTGTCCGTTGCTGCTGCGGCCAAACACCGAGCAGGATCCGTTCCGGTAGTGGTTCGCACAGTACGTCAGCACTTCGATGTCGAGCATCTCGCGCCACGGTTCCGAAATGTGATCGCCATCGTGGTTCTGCAGATCGATGGCCTCTTTGCGCAGGTGGTCGAACCTAAAGCTCTGTTTCGTCCGGGGGTCAAGGTATCGGCCGCCTCCTAAAATAAAGAAAAAGGATAAACAAATTTGCCATTAGTCACGTATTGTAAAATAAACACCGGTCTCTCTTTCCCGGTAGTCTTCAATTCAGTTTAATCGCTGAAGTTTTATGTGCGGCTTCTCTTGCTGTACGACCGACCGATGAGTCATAAAGCAGGTTCAAATGATAAGGCAAAAGGGCGGTAATTGAGCAATTTCCACATAAAGTGTGAATTCGATGGACTTGATGGTATATGAATCAAGTGGAGTAGGAAGTAGATATGCGAATAATCGTGCCAACTGAATCGATGTCAGGCTTCATTGCTCTACAAAGCAGGAGTGCATATTTATTTAGAAAGGTATGCGGCTTGAATAATCTCAAAGTTAATCATTATAAGATTCTTCAATTCATATTCATCCAGTAACATCCTATAAATAGAACAGTACTTATACTGTCTTCTTCTTATTTGTGCTTTATTACGTCCCGACTGGGTGTTTTTTGAGCACTGCCACAGTTGTTAATTGAGAGCTTTTAGTACGTTCAGACTACAGAGCTATAACATGTTATAGCGCTATCTTGATGGTGGTTTCTGTGTTGCAATTATTTGACTACCGTTATAACATGTTATAAGTCTCCAGTCTGTACAGTGCTTAAGCCATACTGCAAATGTCTACACGGCCAACGAGATCAACTCAAATTTGAGTTCAGTTTACTCATAAATCGCAAAAAGTGCAGCAACTCAGCGATGAGTATATTTCAGGCATAACATTTGATAACGGCACAAAAGCATTTGTAAGCAAACTTTCTAAGGCCCTTTACACGCGAACCAAAGTACGCCCACGCAAGCCAATACCACTTTCGGAAAGGTGATAGTTGCCCCTATCCGATGATGTGGTTGGTTTGTGTGAGCGTACTTTGGTTCGCTTGTAAAGGGCCTAAGAAAGTTTGTTTAAAAATGCTTTTGCGCCGTTATCAAATGTTATGCCTGATTTGCATCATGTTTTATTTCAGAAAAAAATCCCAGATATGAGAAAAGTAGAGATTGGATTCTCTCAGTCTATTGATACTACTCCTAGACTGAGTAAAATTTTCGTCAATTTTTTTCATTTCCCGGCAGATTTTTGAGGTTTTCCACAGAAAAACAAGTTTATAAAACAAAAAAGCAAATTTACTTATCCACTTTTTACGATTATGAGTAAACTGAACGCAAATTTGGGTTAATCTCATTGGCCGTCTAGTATAACAATGTAATTCATTTACCTTTTGTATTTCTTTATTGTAGTGTTCGACCAACCGTGTGAAACCCGTTTTGCTATTGAACGACCAATCTGTTATACGCAGGCTTGAAGTTAGAATAAAGTTCTTGTTCAGTCTCTTTGAATGGTTTGTAGACAGAAAGAGAGACATACTACTAGTGATTCATCCAAAAAGTCTTGATATTAAGAACATTTCAGTGGCGACGAGGATGGGATAACTCTATTCTTAGCTAATTATAGAAATACGTGTTTATTTAACTATAAGCCTAAAATTTTAATGGATCTTATACATCCCAGACGACGTTATAAAGATCATCTTCAAGCTCTTCCTAAGAAGGAAGAGACTTTTATAGATGATAGTACGCCCGCCCAGGATCCGTTCATTAAGCTGGCTTTGGGGGATAAAGTCTTGTATAAGAATAATGATAAACATTCCATTGAAAAGTGGATTGAAGCGCAGTATGTGAAAATGATTTCGTTGAATGTTTTTGAAATATCTCTTGGCAGATACACACTCAAAGCGCATCGGAATCAACTGCGTATTATACCGATTCAGCGAGATAAACGGCCTAGAAGCGCGAGCGACTCTGAGGAAGAGTTTTACGGTTTTCCAGATGTTCCGGCCGTACCAACAGAAGCAGCTGGAGGTGGTCGGCGTTTCAAGTACATACGACGCAGTCCAATTGCAACGAGAAGCCGTACCGACACAGTGATAAATCATCGAAGAACCAAGAGAATTCTGAGCAGCAATGAAGCACATCGCGTGCCATCTTTGGGTCCTAGGATTCAATCGAAAAAAAAAGTGAAATTTTACGATGAAAATTTGAAGCCATAGTGAAAAACTAAATTTCAAGTTAGATTTTAAAGTTAAGTTCAAAAAGTTCTGATTAGATTAAGATATATTTTCATGACATAACATGGATTCGAATAGGTTGAAAATCATATTGACGAGTAGTAAGATGAACTCTAGTAGATTGGATTATATATTTTGCGAAATGAAACTGGATCGTATAGATTGAATTTTTATGTTTCCAAAGTGGTCTGATTAACACTTTGAATTGGCTACATTAAAGTGAAATCTTTAGGGAGAAAAACTGTAGTGTTCGACCAACCTAGTGAAACCTCCGGAGTTGGTTGGAAATGCTAACATGAAGCTTTAGTGTGATGATTTATTAGCTAGAGAATGATCTTTAGAAGAGGGTAGGTGGATAGTTCCGTTAGAGTACGGCAGTATGAAAATTGAATAGAAGTTGAAAATGAGCGAAGGGCCATTAAAGCGACAGTTTTCAAGATGACGCACATTTTTGCCTAGCTCGTACGGGCTAGGCAAAAATGTGCGTCATCTTGAAAACTGTCGCTTTAATGGCCCTTCGCTCATTTTCAACTTCTATTCAATTTTCATACTGCCGTACTCTAACGGAACTATCCACCTACCCTCTTCTAAAGATCATTCTCTAGCTAATAAATCATCACACTAAAGCTTCATGTTAGCATTTCCAACCAACTCTGAAAATCGTTAACTTCGCGTATGAAGTAACATAAAAAAAAACACTTTGAATCTAGTGAAACCTGTTTTGCTATTGAACGACCAATCTGTTATACGTAAGCTTGAAGTTAGAATAAAATTCTTGTTCAGTCTCTTTGTAGACAGAAAGGAAGACAGACGTATTTTTACCTACTAGTGATTCATCCGAAAAGTCTTGATATTAAGAACATTTCATTTATTAGCTTTTGTTTGTTTTGCCCCGCATCTCGATAAGTCTCCTCGTGCCTAATGATTACCACAATCGGTCGAACTCCAAACGAAGTTGAATCTAGAACCGCAATACCATTCATATACTGACGACAACACTCTGATGATACAACGAAACCCCACCCCAAGCTCCTCTCCTCATTCCATCCTTCGACAATGTACTCCTTTAACCTCGGATAAGCCGCGAGTATTCGGCCCACCGACTAAACCGAAAATTAAGTAAAAGTTGTTACGAAACAATTATCGGCTCCGTAAAGCTAACGCGATTGAGCCTTTCAAATAAATAAACTAATTAAAAAAAAACTGTACTATTTTTGCATTAATTGTTGTTGTTGCGCAAGTAAAATCATACTCTATTGCCCAGGGAAGTCGAGACATTTTTCAAACCGAAAAATTCTTAGACCGAACCGGGAATTGAACCCAGTCGCCTCCAGTTGCGCCTTTACTGACTGAGCTAAGGGGGGCCCCACATGTCATGATAGATATTTTACTTTGTAATCGTAAGTGACTTGATATCTCTGTGTCGCTAGATACTTGGAGAAAAGTTGGATCAATTTAACGATTTTCTTCACAATCTGATACTTGTGATCCTGGGCAAATTTAAAGTTTGCTATTCCGGAATAAAACAAGGCAAGTGAATTTCCATTTTAAAATTCAAGTTTTTTCTAGCCAATAATTTAAAAAAAAAATCCTGGTTTTACAAATCATGTATACTTATATTACATGTTAATGTGATTCCTTCTAGCACCCTTTTTCGCATTACACTTTGTAATTCCACAAGCCAGCCAAAATATTAGGGTTTTTGTTAATGCACATAGCTGAAACCACTACTTGTCGTGCGCTGCGGTGAAGCAAATAATGTCTAAAATGCAGGGTTGTTACAAGATTTTCAAAGCTGGATCCGCGAAATCCGCGATTTCTCAAAAGAAATCCACGACTTCAAATACTAATCCGCGAAAACAGTGTTCACTCGGCAGTCGACAGAAGCAGGCCACTCTCGATGTGTGTTACGCGATCGTTTTGTTTACCCGGCAGCAACCATTGTGTGGTTCTCCTCATTGTTCTTCATCAGCAGTTCTTTCGGTCGATGCGTCGTCGACTTTGGAAAGCAACCGTTTACTGATGAGTGTGTGAGTGATGACCACGTTTTGCGTCTATTGCTGCAATGGAAGCGCTCTGCCCCCCGTTGGCGATACTACCATACAATGAAACCACTAGAAGCGGCTCCCGTTCTGATATAGGAGCCTTTTTGGATAGCGGAAGATAAAGTGTTTATTGTGTTGTACCTTTTGACTATAGCTTTAAGATGTTTTGTATAATGAACAAGAATCCTCGGCTCTGTAAAGTTAATTCGGTTGAGCCTTATCAAATAAATTAATGAAAAAAATCCGCGAAAAATAACATAATTTTCTAACTCTTTAAAAAACCATTTGTATTACTACTAAATTGGAGACCCCCATCCCCCTAAACTGTCTACGTAGTTTATGAACAGCCCCTTTTGAATATTCCATATTTGAGTATTCTTCTGAATCCCATATTTGAAAAAATTGATCTAAAAATAAGATCTTGAAGTTTTTATAAATCATAAATCTTAATTCCATCTGGTTCAAGCTTCAGTTGGCAGCGGTGTCTCTTCTTTTTCTTCTATCCCTGAATAGATAGCGCGGTTGGCAATCATCCACGGCCCATACAAATTTTGGTTTTTTTTTGTATGGACAAGGAGACAAGGGGAGGGGGGGGGTGTCAAAAGTCCAAAAAAACTATCTACGTAGTTAATGAACAGTCCCAAAGTTTACAAGATCCCTGATTTGAAAAAAATCGTTATTTTTGGTCCAGCAAAAAATTTAGGGCTTCCAACAATAAAGAAGAAGAACGTTCATGGTTCCAACAATAAAGCTGAGGGGGGGCTGAGTTATTAACGTTCAAAAACTTTCTTAATTTGTTACATGTTCCATTTTCGGTTTTCACAAAGTGTACCCCCATATAGAAATCAAAGACGTAGTCCTACGT